TTTATATGAAAACATTTCCAAAGCACCTCTTTACGTAGAATTTAATGGTTTAAGTATAATTTTTTTAAAATTAATAATTTAAGAGTTATCAACAGAAAAATTGTTTTTTTATTTGGGACACCGTCTATATTTTTAATTAACTGAAAAGAATTTAAAATTACCTTTCCCAAAATATAGCACACTTGATATTTTGTTATAATCCCCTTCGAGATACAGAATTTTTAACCGCCACTGTTAACTAGTAGCACAGAATATCTAGCTACTCAACAGAAGCTTCGTTACATGTATAAAATCGTAGGTATCAAAAGGAGACAGGCTTTTAAAGCCTGTCTCCAAATCAGATATTTTGATGCGGTAGTTTCGCTACTACATAATAGAGGGCGATAAATTTAAAAGAAAACAGTTTTCTACAAACGAAATTTAAAAGAAATTTATGCAGTGTTGCCATTGTGTAATTCATATTGTAATACTTCCTTATAAAGCCTACCTTCAAATTTGCTACATCATTTAAACATATTAAAATAGATCAGAGCACTTTTTTCAAACGTTTAGGTATTTAACTTGCCATGTTAGTTGGAGTTAAATCTTACGAGCTGAATTACAATCACTTTGTGACGTTTGATTGTAATTGAATCCTGAATTTTGATTGTAATTCGGCGACAATATAATAAGTATTGTTCTACTATTATGATACCACTTCCTGACGTTCGATTGTGTTCATACCGTATGATCGGGAATAAACGGCGTTAGCGATAGCTATGAAATGGAAATCGCTGTCATTTTATATTTAAATTTTTATGGGAAATGTCATCGATCGTCATTTTCGGTATCATACGGTATTTGATATATACTTGCTTATTTTTCATGACATTGCAATATTATGGTACCATGAATGATACGTAATATAGTACCATATTACGATACATGGCGTTCGATTGGGCTTAAACTTGGTATACTAAGTATCTGCAGTGGCATTGTAATATTATGGTACCATGGAGTCATGGAGCATATAAAGTGGTATCTTCTATAGTACCATATTATGATACTAGTTCCTGACGTTCAATTGGGCTCATATTTGATATATACTTGCTTATTTTTAATGACATTGATTGTATGGTACCGTGAAGCATATCAAGAGGTCAAGAGGTACCATAATAGTACCATATACGATACCATTTCCTGGCGTTCGATTGGACTTATACTTGGTATAGTAAGTATCTTCGGTGACATTATAATATGATACAAATAAAGTGGTACCTTAATATAGTACCTTAATATAGTACGATACCACTTCCTGACGTTCGATTGGGCACATATTTGATTATACTTGCGTATTTTTGATAACATTGCAATATTATGGCACCATGAAGTATATCAAGAGGTACCATAATGTAGTACCATATTACGATACCATTTCCTGGCGTTCGATTGGGCTTAAACTTTGTATGCTACGTATGTTCGGTGACACTGTAATATGATGACATGGTATAATTATGGTATAATGCATATAAAGTTGTACCTTCTATAGTACCATATTATGATACCACTTCCTGACGTTCGATTGGGCTCATATTTGATTATACTTGCGTATTTTTGATGACATTGCAATATTATGGCACCATGAAGTATATCAAGAGGTACCATAATGTAGTACCATATTACGATACCATTTCCTGGCGTTCGATTGGGCTTAAACTTTGTATGCTACGTATGTTCGGTGACACTGTAATATGATGACATGGTATAATTATGGTATAATGCATATAAAGTGGTACCTTCTATAGTACCATACTATTATATAATAATATTACTACTACGGTACTACGGATCTTTAGTTCTCTTGGGCACAAATTTGGTATACTTCGTTTCTTCATAAAGATTTTTTTAATTAATAATTTGAATTTATTTTACGAATTTTAATTTATTGTACGATGTCATGACAGCAACTTTTATGCCGAACTAATATATTATTAATTGTACCTGTGTAACTTTTTAAAATCTACCTAAATCTATATAAATAAGGTGAGAAACAGAAGAAATTTGTTATTATAGTATTTTTTTAGTCAATTAATAGTTTTTGTTAATTATTATTATTAAACGTATATTTCATTACTAACGTTTTAGCATTAATAAATATCACTATCAACCACCCTGTATATTATTAATTTTGAAGGTAATTAAAGTTATTTTCTTAGTTATTTTATTAGTTAACATAATAAAGTAGTGTATATTAAAAATGTATTTTGTGAGGATATGTTTTCTAATAATATACTTCTTAAAACTATTTTAAAAGCCTAACGAATAATTATTATAAGTGTATCTGACAAGAAGCGAAGAATAGAAAGATATTATTATACACCAGAAAAAGAATGGGATGCTAATTAAAGTCTTTTTAAATCTGGCAACTGTGCATATTTAGCCGAGCTTCAAGGACGTCGGCGTGACGTCGATCCAAAACCGAAAGTTGAAAATTTCCAATTATATTCTGATTATGATATTGTCGCGCCATCTAGTATTTTATTTGTGCAATTTTAGCTCTTTCATTTCGAGTATTTTTCTGTTGCGTAGCACTAGATATTCTGTGCTAGTAGGCTTTGGACCCCTTATTGATGATATGCCCTTAATGGAACTCGAAAACATATATTTCCAGCAAGACGACGCGACGGACGCCGAATATGTCCATGGTTGGCAACAATGAATTTAAAAATCGCGCCCTCGATTATGTAACTAAAAGTTTAATTGATATGAAATATACACTGGATGGTAATACATTTGCGCTAAAAGGAAATTTTTGCAGTGCTCTGCGTATTCATTTCGAAGATTGCTACCTAATCTGCCCTCTAACGAAACTAAACCAAAACTAAAAAAAGCCAGGAAGAGAGATTTTAAATCCCTCATTTCTGCAGTTATTACGTCGGTGTCAGGCGAGAGCGCAGTAAATCTTTCGTTTTTATTTTTTAATTACAAAATGCTTTTAGTCCCGCACCACGCAGACACACAACGATCCGTTTAATCTATGTGGATTTGATTCGCGTTCCCTTTAAAGAGGAATCTCGTGCGCTAATATCGTTTGTTTTCCTACATGCTCCTCGCCTAATATTTGCTTTATTCGAGCTTATTTCATGCACCGACGAAAAATATGGAAGATAATGCGCTAATTTTCGGGAAAACTTTATGGCTAAAAGTAACGCGAAACGTATATTTTTGCGATGTAACTGTGATGTCTTAGCAAGGCTTGGTAGAAATTTTTAGGCAGCTATTTGTTATAAAAAAATTCGGTCCAAGTATGAGCTCTTAATTTTAACAGGAAGCTCCTCCGCTTTTCTGTTTTCTATTTTTTCCTTATTATTTGAAAGAAAACCTCATATCTCGGCGTCTACTATTTGGAAAAAATATCTCGTCTCTTTTGTTTGTGCGAAATTGAATTCTCTATAAAAAAGGTTGTGAAACCGAATAGCGTCATGCAGTATTTACGCGTACCTTACCATGGTTACGATATGCGCGAGTCAATTTTTAACGCAACACCCGCTAATAACGTTACCGCCTGACGTAATTTGCGGATCAATTACACCAAGCGTTATTTCTAAGTAACGTTTAAAAATTGCTTAAATGGGCATGTGCTGGTATTTGACTTCTATGTATTTGACAACCGGGGCCGGCCGGTGAGATCTTTTATTTTAGGTTATGTTTGAATTGTTTTGAATTATTACTTTAGTTTTATTAGGTAATAATAATAACTATAAATGAAGAGAGTTAATAGCACCTCACGTAAAGGAAATAACACCTGGACTTATTAGCGTCCATGCAGGCTATTCGGTTTAGAGATATCTCTCTCTATGACGCTGTTTATTGTTATTTTACGCGAATTTATTTTTACGCACAGGAAATTTTACTCGTTTGCACATCGTCATAAAAAACAATTTTCATACCACGGATTAGGGACAAGATTTTTATCTGTATACTTATAGGATACCTAATCTGTGAAAATGAAAAAAACCAGGAAAATCTAAAGATCAACCTCAGAATTATCGACCCATAGCCCTTCTTAGTTGTAGCTATAAGCTCCTAGAACGACTTATTTTCAATAGAATAAAGGATAGTATCATAGACCATATTCCAGTTGAACAGGCAGGTTTCATTCCTAAACGCAGTTGCTGTGACCAAGTCCTAGCACTTACATCTCACATTGAAGGAAATTTCCAACTTAAGCTTAAAACCTCCATAGCTATTGTCCATTTAACAGCCGCTTACGACACAGTCTGGAGAGATGGTATGGTTTATAAATTACTTAAAGCACTTACTGGTCAAACTATAGCTCGAGTTACCAACAACATGCTAACTAACCGATATATCCAAGTATTTCAGGGAGAGAGCACAAGTAAACCTAAAAAACTTAACAACGGCTTACCCCAAGGCTCCGTTCTCGCCCCTCTCTTATTCAACTTATACATCTCTGACTTACCAGATACGCAATCTAGAAAATTTTGTTTTACGAGACGATATAGCCATAGCAACGGAATATGAATCGCTATATCAAACCCAAGAAACGCTTACAAAGGATCTCGCATCCTTGAATGCCTATTTTATAAAATGGAGACTTCAACCCAATGCAAATAAGACAGAAGTGGCTACCTTCCATCTTAATAACAAGCTGGCGAATACTGAAATAAGCGTCCAGTTTGGTAGCACCACTCTGAGTAATAACAAATATCCAAAATATCTGGGGATTACTCTAGACCGTACACTCTCATTTCGAAGAGAACACCTAGAAAATGTTGCTGGTAAAATCAGAACACGAAACAACATTATACAAAAACTTTGTGGTACTTCTTGGGGTGCAAAAGCAACAACACTTCGAATCTCCGCCCTATTCAGTGTGGCAGAGTATTGTGCACCCGTGTGGTTGAACAGCCACCACACAAATCTCGTAGACAGACAGCTGAACAACACCAGTGATTACAGGGACAATCAGATGCACACCTAGTTACTGGCTTCCAGTTATGAGTAACATCCTACCTCCAAATCTACGCAGAAACGAGGCTCTTCTTAGAGAATTTGATAAAATAATAGCTACCCCAAGGCTACCGGTTCATGGAACACTTCCTGCTTTACAGGTGAATAGACTTAAGTCGAGGAATCCACCTTTGCGAACAGCTGAACAACTAAAAAGCAGTAACTACAATTCTCGGGAACAGTGGCTTCAGTTATGGAGAGAAATGGCCGATGCTCGCCTATACTCCTGGTTCGAAAATAACTATTGCCAGACACCGGGTACCGATCTAAACCGGAAAACATGGTCAACTTTGAATAGGATACGCTCTGACCATGGAAGATGTGCGGATTCCCTTTATGAGTGGGAAAATACTTTCCCCAGAATGTGATTGCGGATCCTCTCACCAAACCATCCATCACATAACTAGAGTGTGCAACCTACGCGCTTATGGTGAAGACTGGAGGGACTTTCTGGAGGCTTCTCCATCAGCTTTGGAATGGATAGGGCATCTAGATGTTAATATATAGTGTTCGTAAATACGTTTTTTATGTTGTCTTTTTATATTGTACTTGTTTTTTTTATATTTACATTGTAATGTTTTCATTTACATTGTAGTTTATTTTATGTCTATGTTTAAGTGTCTGGTTTTCTTGCATGTATATGAGCCATACGATGAATAATGAATGAATAACCTAATTTGTGCTATTACTAAGACTTCGCTGTCCGTCCGTCCGTCTGTCACAAAGGTCTATCTATGAACCGGACGCGTGGTTTAAAGCGTTAGGACTTTACGCTGCTATGACGTTGGAGCCGTAGTAAGGCAGGTTCGAATTCTAGTTAAGGCGACTTTTTTTAATGTTTTTTTTTTAATTTTTACATATTTTTACATATTTATTTTTACTTTTTACATATTTATTATTGATTAATACAATTTTTAGTAATGTGTTTCTTAATTTTTTTAAATTACTTATACGCGCATTCAAAATTTCAGCTAAATCGGAAAAAAGTTTATAATAATATAGTGCCTAATGTTGTATAGATAATGAATGGTACGGAACCCTTCGTGCGCGAGTCCGACTCGCACTTGACCAATTTTTTTTAACTTAAGAATCTCTTTTTTTAAATAGATTTATAATATTAAATAGTCATTCTATACATTTAAAGACCCCCATTCACAAAACTAAAACCTTCTGTTGTCCGAAACGAAACAATAACATTAAACTTTCTAACGTAAACATCGCAAATTGTCCAACAACAACAATCTCCCGTTCTATTAATCCCCTTAATATCCTGCCAGTTCAGGACGGGGCGCTCAGACAAGTTCGGAAAGGTCAGCAACGTCAGCTTCCCGGTTTACTGACCGCCTAGTTTCATGTCGAATGATTAGTTTGGCAAGTCCTAAGCCCCTTAGAAGTTTGCATCGCCTCGAGACCTTCCGCTAAAAACCTATCCTATCGGAAAGTTAGGTTAGATTCGACGTACGGGGGAAATAAGGATTTGCGTCGGTTGGGTGACGCAAATTGAGTCAAGTTTCTGTGAACATGTCAGTCAAATTAATGAAAAAAAAGCCGTGTAATATGTAGAACAAAGAGTGTAGGTACAGAAATAACATTTCAATTCCATCATTAGTTTAAGGCTACTATACTTGTTTTCACCTAAAACTTCCCAATATGGCGGACTTCAGTATGGGAGGCTTAAAAAACGAAAATCTCTAGACTGGAATCGACTGTAGTTCAAATCGTTCAAATTGATAATCTGTGGTAAATCTAATTGAGCTCTGGCACTTGGCTGACTGACGTTTACGGTTCCTTTTTCTAAATATTTTCATTAGTTTTTGAGTTTTTATTCACTAATTCTACTTGATTTTGTTCTTTTATTTAACCTGCAGCCTGCAGTACTAATTATATACTTATAAATAATTTTTTCACCGGTCAAGAACTGAGGAATAGGCTGGAAGATATTAAAAAAATGTGTAAAACGCTTAAAAACGTATTAGGAAACATTGACTCGTCCACAAATTCGTGAAAATAAATTAGTCCAGATGTTTGTAAAAAGGTCTCTAATTATTTTGAGAAGTTTCCTCGTATCAGTAATTTTCAGGTTCAAGATGTATATGATAATAAATAGATTAAAACTTATATTAATTTCAGGATACAGCGCGGGCATTACAGATTGTTGTAAATTAGTTTTAAAATATAAAGAAGGTTTAAAACAGGTTTAAAAGTTGAGCTAGTAGAGAAGACCTAAATAAGGTAATGTTGGTAATGGGATTAATGACACAAATAACTCATTTTGAGTGAAATTAAAAAAAACTTTTTTTTTGCCGATCCTAATAGCCTACCATACCTATTGGTATGGTCGGCTAAAAATTGAGATATGATTAAAAATAAGATGTCGACTATAATTATATGACAGACATAGGCAGTCTTCTTCGCAATCATTGGCAGTCGCTTGGCAGTAACATGACATTTTGGCAGTACATTTACATTTTTTAAGCAAGACACCATTGAAGACATTATTTACTTATTCTCATTTTTGTTGCTTGAGAATGGATGTAATGCACTTCTAATCTAATACATACAGGATGTCGCATAAAAATTATTATTTTATATGAATAACTATGAGATCAGATCAAATGCAGGATCGAACAAGCAAGATCTACTTTTCTGAGACTGCGAGGATTTCTCACAGATAGGAACTTGAACTTCGGCCTTAGATACAGAATTGCGAAATGCTAAGTCTGGTCCGTTTTGTTATATGGTGTGGAAGCATGGACACTGAAGGTAGCAACAATAAACCGAATTGAAGCCTTCGAAATGTGGACCCTACGACGAATGCTAAGAGTGCCCTGGGTCGACCATGTGAGGAATGAATATATTCTCAGAAGAGCTGGTCTAGAAGAACGTGAACTCGAAATCATCAAGAGGAAAATAGCCTATTTGGTACACATACTACGAGGAGAACGCTATCACTTTCAGCGTCTGATTCTCCAGGGTAAAATAGAGGGGGCCAAAAAAGGGGAATAGGCTGAAGGAAGCTATCCTGGCTGTTCGTCATTGGACAGGCATACAGGACTTCCAAGCACTCCAAGTCGCTGCAGTTAATAGAACCATATGACGAGGAAGAAAAAGATGAACGCCTACGCAGGAATCTGCACGGCACCTTAAGAAGAAGAACTATGAGATTTGTCATCCTGTGCGATTTTTGGTAATACAAAATAAACTACATAAACCTTATAGCTTGCTTTCTGTTTAATTGACATTCTGTCTCAAAAATAAAATAGTTAGTCTGTTACAAGAGGGACAAAATAAAACCCTTTACCTGCTCGTGTACTTAATTTGCTTTCATTAATTTATAACCTTTATTTCGACTCGAAAATCCGAAATGTCTAAGATATTCCCTTAATGCTTTTTTGTTTAGTACTAATCTTAAACCACTCTGCCATCATCACGTTCTTGCAACAATTTAATCTTATTTCGAGCATCTCCTGTTTTAATTAAGAAACATTGTAGTGAGTATTTTATTTCGCACACAAACGACTTTCTTCACTGGCGTGTGTGAGCTCCCTAATTCAATTATTGTGTTTTTCGTCTAGCTAGAAATACTTTCCCTGAACCACAAAAAGGGTAAAAATAAACTACAAGCACCTTTTTAAGGTAAATTGTTCGTGAAGTTTTTACGTGTGTGTATTTTGTTGATGCTTTTCTCAAGAATTCATTTAAAAGTGTGTTCTACATTTTTGCAACAACTGATTTTTTACTCGTTAAACCGTCAAATCAATCATCAAAGTTCTAATCATAACCTAAATCAAAGTTCTCTGTCGATATTTCTGCTCAATTTTGTGCGATTTAATAATAATAAATTCAAAAGTAGTATATATACAGGGTGGTCCGAACTATATATTCCGGAAACTTCGGCAGCATATTCTGCAGATAAAAGAGCGCCACCTACATATTTTTTAACTGCTTTGAAGAGTAATAACTTTTCGTCCGTGCCTGTATAAAACTACTGAGTAAAAAAATATTCATTTAGGACGTTTTTTACGTAAAAAGAGTCCCATCCCCAGAGTTAACCTATGGTACATACTGGAACAACTTAATGTGAATGACTGTCTCATAAATTTAATTAAGTTGCTGTACAACAACAACACAGCTCGTGTTAAGAGCGGTAACAAACTGTCTGAGGTAATTTTTACAACTAAAGGGCCTTCGACAGGGATGTCCTCTGTCGCCTCTTTTATTTAATCTGTATTTGGAAGTGGATCTTAGGGACTGGAAGAAGAGGTGTGGGGGGATTGGGCGTCCCTGTAGGAGATGACTGTTTGGTTACATTGAATTTTGCCGATGACTAGGTGGCCATAGCTCAAGATGATTTCAACCTTGAATTCATGATGAGCAGGTTAAATACGGCATACACGGAATGGGGCCTTACTGTGAACATTGATAAAACGGAATACCTAGTGACCAATTCAGATGATAAATTTGACATTTTTATTACTGACAATGCAAAGCTTAGACAGGTTGAATGGTTTAAATATTTGGGGGCACGTATAACCAGAAAGGGACTGGACAAAACAGAAGTATCTGCTAGAATAGAGTAAGGGCAGAAGATTATAGGAGCACTGAATGGCATCTGGTGGGACAGAAACATAAGACCAAACACAAAACTACATATTGGAAGAGCCGTAGTGGAGTCCGTAGTAACTTATGGGTGTGAAGTTTGGACCTTAAAAGCTGAACAAAAACTAGCTTTGAATGCACTCGAAATGTACTGTTTGAAATGCAGTGCGAGAGTAACTAAACTGGACAGAGTTAGGAACGTGGAAATCAGAGCCAAAATGGATGCCACACAGACAATAGTGGATAGAGTCGAACAGAGGGGCCTTAAGTGGTTTGGACACTTGCTACGCATGGAACACCAAAGATGGTCCTACCGTATATACAGATGGTCACCTCCTGGAAAAAGGAAAAGAGGACGGCCTAGAAGATCCTGGAATGAGGCCATCAGAAAAGTAATGGAGGACCGTAACTTGGAAGAGGAAGATGTTCTTGATCGTAACAGGTGGCGGTTAGGCGTGGGGATGCGACGTTAGTTGCGACAACCCTGGAGTATATATATTTAATAGCCAAAACGAATACATAGATTTTCGCGACAGTTCTCGTTTAAAATTTATTTTTTAAGTAAAATAATGGATGTTTACGAAGTTCGTGAAAAAATTCAAATTGTAAAATGGTATTTCCAAAATAGATCTTATCGGGATATACAAACAATTTTTCCACAAACTTTTGTAAACAGGCCAATTCCATTTTTACCTACTGTATCAAGAGTTATTAATAATTTTGAAACACATGGGTGCGTGTTCCCACAAAAACACAAGAAGCCTGATGTGTTGATTAATGAAGAACAGGAGTTAAAGCAAGTGTTCATTTGTGCTACCGCGGATCAAAATCCCACGTTTTCAAGTAATCAAATGGCTGAGGTGGTTGTCCTGCCCACAATGCCCGTATGGTTCAAGAATATTTGAACAATACTTTTCCCAACCGTTTAATTAGTGGATATGGAACTATTTTGTGGCCCGCTAGATCACCAGATCTTTCTCCCAATGATTTATTTTTGTGGGGTTATGTAAAATCCAAAGTGTATGGTCATAATAGGGCTACTAATCTGGATGAGCTTCAAGTAAAAATACGAGAGGCTTTCCAAACTATTAGCCCTAATATGTTAGCCAATGTCAGACGGGGATTTTACGACCGCCTAGGCTTCTGTCTAGCACAAGAAGATGGTCTTTTTGAACACTTGTTATAACTTTTTTTTATTTAGAGTAATATTTTAGTTTTTTTTGGGTTTAGAGAATTTATTTATTTTTAGTTTTGGCTTGTAAACACACTCAAATAATAAATATTTAAGTATTTTCATTTTAAATGTTACCTTAAATACTCGGCATTCCTCGCGTCGTATTCCTAGTCTGTCACGACCGACCCGTCCAAGCACAACTGCAACTGCGTACTGCCTGACCAGCCGACTGTACTCTGTTTTTTTTCTCAGGTAAGATTTCGACAGACGATGACAGAAGAAAAGCAGATGACGTCCCATACCAATCTATTTATTTTACTAAAAAAAGTTTCTAATAATTTTTAAGGTATCTGTGGATGGGTTTAAATATAAATCCGTCATGCGTCGTGTCTTGTTGTTTTTAACTAGTTTTATTGGTTTATTTAAAAAATGACAGATCGTATTTCAATTTTATTGGTTTGACGGAACGATGAACGACAAACGGACGCCGATGCGTATGAACTCGCCTTTAGATTTTTGTCATTTTTGACGCTTGTCAAAGTCTTGCAAAATTATAGGTTATAATTTTGTGTCAACTTTTGTTAAATAACCTGCGTTTTGGAAGATGATGCATTTTGATTCGTATTATTACGTGTGTTTTGTGTCTTTTGAAGTCAAGTGGAGGAAAAATCGAGTGAAAATTAACTGTAGACCCAGAGCACAGTTTATGGTTAATACTCGCTGCCCAGGCAGAAAGTCATATACACCAATGAAGTTGCCATCGACAAAGTTTGTATACCATCTCGTCGTAGATAAGTGCATCTCGTATATGGTAGAAGGATCAAACTAAACACATACTAAAAACTGGAGTAGCTGTAAAATATCGACATCACACGATAGGTAAATAATGGATTTTAGTACTGCAGAAAAATAATGTCAAAAGGTACTGGTTTAAAAAAATTAAGATTAAAGTTAATTAATCAACCTTTAAGGTATAAAATTTGGTAGTGTTGTTATTAATAAAATAGTTTGTTTTATTTGCCTATGTTGTTTTATTTATTCACTCCAGTGGAATATTACAAATTTGTATTTGTACATAAGTTATATTGATAAATATAATCATAAATGCGGGTAGTTTCAAAAAGCTTGAAAGTAAAAAATAGTTCTTTTTATATTTTTTGGTATGTAGTGTCTTGTTCTTGTTTGTTTTGTATTAACACATACCGTTTTCATTAAATAAAATAACTCGATTACATTTGTTCAGTTTTATACAGTTTTTTTCACAATATTTTGAAATAATCACTTGTCATCTTGTCAATCAAATTTTAAATATTTCCTGCTATGCGTTCAAGTTGTACCAACTTATTTCTTTGTAAAATAAAATAAACTACTTTGAAATTAAAATGACAGACACATCTATCACTGTTAAGGATCTTCTCGTTGGACAGACTATAGCCGGCAGTGAATCTCGAGTACGAACGCAAAACGGGTAAACGTAAATTCGTCCGGCAACTTGCTATGTTACTAGTAACCTGGTCTTCTCTGTATACACTATAGATACAAAATAAAATGAGCAAAAGACTTACAATGAAAACAGAATCACGCAAATGTCAATAATAGCCCTCATGGCACAAAATAAAACTTGGAATTTACAAACACACTAAAAGATAATAGAAAATAATAAAAAGAATCTCACCAGTCTGCGAAAAACAAACCGACCGATCTTTTGACCTGATTCCATCGACTTTCCACATTTTCCACTGGCATCAAAACGGGGAAAAAGGCGCTTTGGGAGGCCGGAAAATGCCGAAAAGCGTCGGAAAAGTTCTGAATAGTCGTTGACAGGTCGAGACAGCAGTAGAGAAGAGAGTTTTTAGAGGGCGGGGAAAATTGCTAACAGTTTATTGATAAACTGACAACAGGGGAACATGTGGAAATGGATAAAGGAAATACGGGGTTGGCTAGGCTTCTATAGGATATGTTTTCTTCTCGGGGGATTAAAGTTTGAAACTTTTATTTTTGTTAAAACATTAACTGAAATACTTTGGATAAAAAACTTTGGTAATTATTTGAAAATTTCCCGAAATTATACGATGTTTGCAGATATTACATGCCACAAAATTGCGACAGCGCTACGGTTGTAAATGTTACAGCCTTTTAATTTCACATGCAAATAACTTTTACGCGACCTAAACATGTTCGGTACAAGCGTAACCTACTCTCTGATAAATAAATATTAGATTTAGTTGGCTGTTGTAGCATTTCAAAAATGGGGGGAGTACATTTTGCATATGGGATATTCCCTAGAAGACGTGAAATAACAGAGTTCTGTGTTTTAATTTGAATAAAATCATTTAGTAAACATTTAATTAAAAAGTCGTATATGCCTACTACATTTTCATGAAGGTATTTCATGTACGTATTTTTATTTTTATTAAATCTCTGAAAATACAAGTATTACATCCTTATTAGACACAGTGGCACTTGTGTATTAACGTCTTGATCTTAATCAAATAACACTCAGATGCATAAAAAACGCAACGGAGGTCAAATTTAAAGTTGTTATATTTTTGTTATTTTTAGCCCTATTTTCATTAATTTTTTAGCAAGCTGTATACTAAGGGCTGGTAAAGGTTAGTCTTGGGTCGAGATTTCCGTATGTAAGAAGAGTGCAATGCGTTTATAATGTACTGAACAAAGAGAGGACAGTAAACACGTTGCCAAACGTATGAAATAAACCGAGAAACTGTGCACATCGCTAAGACACGTGGAAGGGGATATAGCAGATTTGTCGTAGTTGACCGGTCGACCCAATCAATACCTCGGTCAGTACTTAAAGTTCTAGGGAAAGGTGTACGTCATGCGTCAGCTTCACGATTTAATTACGTCTCGTGATACTTGATTTGTTGATTTATTAACGAGTCGTTGTAATTTTCCCTATAGCTTGAATTTTTTTAAGTGCAAGCTAGAAACACTTGAATTTTTGGTAAAAATAAGTGGAACTGAGTGGGTGTTCGATAGTGGTCGCGCTATTAGAACTGAATTTAAAAATCGATATCTTGAAATCTATTAGAAATAATAGATTGTAGTTTTTTCAAGAACTTTGTTAATATTTCTGCTGTATTTGCTTTGTAGACAGTATGTGAAAATCTTTATCAATAAAAAAATTACACGATTGCTGAAAATTGTTATGCTCTAAAAGTAAATGGATGGATTGTTTACAATTTTTGAATGGAAAAAAACAACCTTATCGAATTTTTCTTATGTAAACATATTGTAAAATATCCGATCTTGAAAATAAAAAAAAAGTTTCAATATCTAAAGTGGTTCTTGAGTTATGGCCTGTTATGTGTCAAAAAGTTGAGTTTTTAAATTATCGCGATTACTGACGTTTTCTCGTTATAAAAAAAATGACACCCTAACGATATCCTTATAATTCCATTTCAGATGCCCAGAAACATCACAAACCTAATGGTTTTATCTAGTTATCTCTTGAAAAAAATGTCTTTTAAAAATAAGCGGTTTGCAATCGTGATTTTACTTTACTTGATAGGGAAAGGCGTATCGGCAACGCCGCAACAGCACACCGTCGCGCGTCGCGTCGTTCGGTCGCATTTCTCTCACTCCGACTTAATAAAATCCCTATGCGATTTACTTCCACACATGTAAATGCCGACCCAAAAGTAACAGTTGCCAGCACGGTATAATTATATCAACTTTAATTCGTAAACTCAGCTTTTTATAAACTTAAGTATTTGGCATATTATACAGGGTTAATCGAGGGGGTGTTTTTTTTCCTTAACTTTAAAACATCCTTTGCAATAATTTCGTTTGTAAATTTTCCTAAAATATAATTTTACGGTCAGAACCATGTCTCCTGAGCATTTTGTTTTTTGGATCATGTCAATACATGCCTTGGTTAATTTTTAAGAGCGAAATGAACTTCAACAATTTGTAGTTTTTCAATTATCATTTCTTTTTGAAGTGATTTCTCTAAGGCTTTCGACTGTGTAAATCATAATATCTTAATTAACAAATTGCAAAACTATGGATTCAGGGGAGTGCCGCTCGAATGGCTTAAGTCGTATCTTGGCAACAGAAGGCAGCTTGTGAGGATTGATACGTCTATGTCTTCTTGTAAGCCTATAGAATGTGGTGTCCCTTCAGGTTCAGTACTTGACCCTATTTTATTTCTCTGGTGTTTATTAACGACATTGCAAATTCAGAGATATTATTAGCGGTAAAATCTAGTGATGGGCAAAACTGTTATTTTAGATAACAGTTGAAACTGTTATAAAGTTATTTATAAAAACAG